TAGGAAGAAAATTAACTCTATCCCAGCCAAAATGAGGACAGGCAGAGATACAGGAGTAAGAATTCCCATGGGCTATGGAGTAAGAATGGGCAATTACTACAGTGAAGTTGAACCACAGTTATTTAGCCAGTATTAGAGTGTCTACATTTGCAGGATCTTCAGGGGCCCAAAAGCATCCACATGGTTTTTTGGACAGGAGAGGAACTCCAGTTGTAAGCTTCAGATGACTACACCACAACCAACAGAGAGAAAAAGGATCTTCCAGTGAGCCTCTGTTCCTTTCAGATGCTTATCTAATAAGAATCAATCCTAAGGCTACTCCAGTTATTTTCTACACTGGCAGTCTAGACACTAGCTCAGCACAACATTTTACTTTGTCAGTAAGAAAGGAGAGAAGAATTTCACTTCAGTGCTCAAACATGGTGTCATCAACTTGATGATGTCAAGCTGAGTGGTGCAGCTGATTAGCTTGAGGGAAGGGACACCATCCAGAGGGACCCTGACAGGCTTGAGGAGTAGGTCCAGGTGAATCTCATGAAGTTCAACAAGGCCAAGTGCAAAGTCCTGCACCTGGATTGGGGCAATCTCCAGAATCAATATAGACTGGGGGATGAGTGGATTGAGAGCAGCCCTGCTGAGAAGGACCTGGGGAATACTGGTGGATGAAAAATTAGACATGAGCTGGCAACATGTGCTTGCAGCCCAGAAAGCCAACCGTATCCTGTGCTGCATAAAAAGAAGTGGCCAGCAGGTGGAGGGAGGTGATGCTGCCCCTCTACTCCACTCTCATGAGACCCCACCTGGAGTACTGCATCCAGCTCTGGGGTCCCCAGCAAAAGACAGACATGGACCTGTTGACAACAGGTCCAGAGGAGGGCCACAAAAATGGTCAGAGGGTTGGAACACCTCTCCTATGAAGAAAGGCTGAGAGAGTTGCGGTTGTTCAGCCTAGAGAAGAGAAAGCTCTGGGGAGACCTTATTGCAGCCTTTCAGTATTTAAATGGGGCTTAGAAAAAAAAGACACACTTTTTACCAAAGCCTGTAGTGACAGGACAAGGGGCAACAGTTTTAAACGGAAAGAGGGTAGGTTTAGACTGGACACAGGGAAGAAATTCTTTACGATGAGGGTGGTGAGACACTGGAACAGGTTACCCAGAGAAGTTGTGGCTGCCCCACCATTGGTAAGGTTGGAGGTTCAAGGTCAGGTTGGATGAGGCTTGGAGCAACCTGATCTAGTTGAAAGATGTCCCTGCCCAAGGCAGGGGGATTGGACTAGATGACCTCTGAAGTTCCCTTCCAACCCAAACTATTCTATGAGTCTATGGTCCTGCATTCCTGTATTAACCCAGGAACTGTTGAAAACCTTCTAAAAGGTTAGGCTCAGTTCCAGGACTTAAGATTGGCACTTTATGGTAGAAGGAGTATACATGACAGAATCCAGCTTTTGACAGTAAAATATTGCAGTCAAATAAACAAACAAACAAATTTATCTATATGGTCATAAGCTATTCAGTACTGAAGTTCAAGTCTTGCAAGCCTCCTTCTCCCCTCCACTCTTCTGCTATGCAACATATTCTCTGGCACTATAGCTAACAAACAAGCTCACTCAATGGAATTTGAACATACTAAAATTAATATATACCAGGAGACACTTTACAAATAACCAAGATGAGACAGTCAGGTCTTTTTATCTCTATTTCCAGTTGGTACAAATGATCAAAGAATGAAAGATTTCCACACTGGGATGTGGATTCCACACAAAGATTTCCACTTCCCCACAATGGGAAGTATGGGCATGATCTGTATGACTGCATCTGTCAATACAGAGTCTTGAATGTACTGCTTGGTCTTAAATAGGCTCATTATAATAGAAGGATATGGGGAAGACTGATATATAACTAGTAAAATAGATTAAAGAATTTCTTCGTGACGGTAAAAAAAGTAATACTTCTTTTTAGGCCTGATAAAGACAAAGCATCAAGGACTACAACAGAAATGAATCCCAAGAGCTTAAGATGCGAGAAAGTAGCATTACTATTATTACATTTTCTTAGCTTTAAGTCAGTTTGGATATTTAGCAATTTTTCTAGCGTTACAGCCTATTAATAGAAGATAATTGGCCAAATTACATTCAACAGATAACTTCCTGTTATGTTCTGAGTGTAATCCACCTACAGATATATTATCATTTTGCACAAAGGTGAGCTTTCAGCTATCATGAGTCTGATGATTTGTCTTCTCATACTTTAGCATATATATATTTTTTTTTAAATTTAGTTCATTCACAGAAGAATTAAGATAATTTCAAGAATTCTTGAAAACATAGCAACATTTAGTGATTCCTTGCACCCTCCTAAAAGTATCTTGAAAGTACTGGAAATTAAAGCTTGCCTGTTAACAAGTCATTGTACAGAACCAAGTTTAATTCACAGTCATTACAATTATTAATCTGAGATAATTTCTAAACTGAGTTGTGTGGTGGAATAACCAGAATGTAATTTTGATCAGGTCCGAACAGAAGCAATTTATTAGTTTAGCTATAGGAGAGAGCACAGAGCAGCAAAGTGACACTGCTGATACAGATCTCTGCCCAACTAGGTGCCAACTCTGTGAGGCCATTAGGTCATGCTGCAAATATTTTTTAACTAGTGAGACCTACAAAGGCCTATGAAGGGTTAACAATTTTACTTCCAGTGGTGTAACAATTCCCAAGCCTTTCCTACCTCCAGGTGTTCTGATGCATTGCTCTTTGCTGTAATGACTGCTTTTGTTGTAAGCCCTCGAGAATGCTTGTGCTTTTACACAGTACAAAGTCGAGGGCATTAGATCAGAGAGTGTCCCTATTGTCTGTTTTATCTCTTTCATTTTGATTTCCTCCTGAAAAAGAAAAATTGGAAGAATAAGATGCACATAAATAGTACAAGAGTCACCCAAATAGATTAGAATTTTGACCTCTGTTGAAGCAGTAATTCTATAAGGAGTCAGACACCATTCTGCACTTGGATTAAATTAACTGAAAGAAACCACACAACTCTCTCCTAAGCAAACACATTCAGGGAACACTTATTGGCAAGAACCAACTGCTTTCACCATACTGAAGTTTTACAGTTTAAAGCTGCGTGCAAGAAGAAACTTCTTCCTGTTACAGTTTGTTTTCTTCTCTTCTTCCACACATTTACACATACACATTTACCAGTTACTTTAAAATATTTTACTATAAGAAGCATTTAAAGAAAATGGAAAGATCCATTAAAACATGAGCTAAAAGCATGCAAGACTTTATTGTTTTATGATACCTATAGCTAAAACTGCAAATACAGAAAGAAAAGAATTTGAGGGGCTGGAAGCTACATTAATGAAGACAGTGCACAGTCATACCGTAAGAAAGATGGCATCGCAAGAACCCTACAATTTCTATTCAGAAGTGAGCCATTTAGCAGCTTGTACAAAACTCAGTGCAATTCCGCAAATCATTACATATAGCTACATCAATAGAAAAAGATTAAAATCTCAATTACTTTGTGATAAGTCATCTTGACCAGATTTTTAAGTCTTTCAGAAAAAAAACCAACAAATTGATTGCATGATTGATACACCATATATGTGTCTCTTTTGAAAATAAGCTTCTTGAGGAGAACTCAAACTCAGCATTTAAATCATAACAAACCGTATATACTGTTTTAAGTATTTCACTAGTTCATACCTCATTATTCGATGAATTCTTCCAATACAGAACCCAGTAAGACAAGTCATCATAGCCCCTCGTGACTTCACTCTCAGATCCTCCTGGAGGAGAAATCTGGATATGGAGCAAAACATCACTGACGTCCACCTTTATACCAGGAGGGCCAATTTCATCTTAAGACATTTAAAAAAAAAGTTAAAAATAAGACTGAAAGAATACAAATAAAAATATTGCCTAAAATACTGTAATTTAAATCTATGACAATTTTTAAGAAACATATACTTAGAAGTCCAACTTGGCTAATAGCTTTATTCAGAATCTCAAGTCCTGAGAAATATTTCAATTATTTTCTCTTTCCACATTCATATGTTGCTTCTTCAAGTTTCAGTGACATGAAATACACCAACAGTGGGATTAACTCAGTGCAAGTCAAAGTGAAACTACTGAACACTTCTTAATCTCATCTGGATATGGGCCCTCTTTTTCACATATACCCTCTTTTACAGTTATAGTACAGTTGAAAAGTGAGAAGCATTACAGTTTGTTTTCTTTTGTTGAATTGTTTACCTAGGTCATTGTTATCTTTATTAAAGAATTATCTAATTACCAAGAGGTTGGACAAGGGAAAGCTGACATAGAATAGCTATTGATTCAATATGGAAGGCAAGGGAATATTACCCTACATACTAGATAAATATTTCTTGACATTTATGATTGATAACTTGTGTGAAGTCAAACATTTTAGTAAGGTCACACTTCTCACAAAATCAAAAGAGCGCAACAAAGATAAAAATTACTATAATTTCACTCTGGAGAGAGTTACATATTTTTGACCTGGATGTCACTATCATTTAAGACTGCTTTTTCATGAAGCTCTTCAGGGTTGTATGTCAATGTAATACTGCTTCAGCACAGGAGTGCACTGTGCAGGGGTACAGAAAAGGAGGAGATGAGAGTAGATGCACGAGAAAATAGAGGAAGTGAATTCCAAAATTATTTGACTTTGGCAACGTTTTTCTGAGATATCAAGAAGTGCTCCCTGTCAATGGCAAAAGTCAGGCTAGGGATATTTCTAGTACAATCTCATGCAGCGATTAATGTAGTGTACAGTGAGATTATAAAATGCCATACAATGCTTTGTGGTTTAATTTTGTAAAGCAAATGGTATAATTCTGAATTTAGTGAAGTACTGGCTGTGCTGAATAGAGAAGACCATGGAAAAACTCCTGTTTAACTTGACGAGGCCAGGATTCCCAACACAGTTTCTGTAGGGGAACTATGTATTTAGTTTCATTAATCTAGCAAGTTTCTTTCTGCAAATAACAGCATTAGGTACAAGTTTGTTGAGAAACGAAAATTTAAGAAAAACACATTTGCTTACTTGTTATCAGAGGATCTACTTTTACTTCATTAGACAAGCATGATTTATTATATTCACTCATGGCCTGCACACGGAGGTGATAAAATCCAGAAGTAGCAGTGATGATAGATGAGAAATTGCATTGTGTATCAGTGATGTTTTCACATCCAGGTACATTGAGCCACTCCCCTGAGTAACCTTCATGACGTTTCTTTAGATACCCCCTGCAAGAGATATTTTAATAGTTTTTGATGTGAGTTCCTTGAACTCTTTTAAAAAAAAAAAAAAAAAAAAGAAGAAAAAAAAAGAAGCATGTTCACTTGTCCTACCGAGGGTTTTTTATTTTTGGAAGAATGGGCCTCTTAGAAACTTCTCATATTTAGCATACTGTTTTTTCATTTTTAACTGAAACAATGAAGTTAACTGGACCAGGAAATACAAATTAGTGCTTTAATCAAGCCTCAATAGAAAAATTATATATCTGTTTTAGAAATATTTTAAATCCAAATTAAGATTTTTCATACAGTTCTATTAAGTCAATTATTTTTCTGTCATGTCAAAGGAATTCCAGAAGAATGCTAGAGGTATCTCTCCTCTTCATTTAGATGCTGGCCACAACATTTGTACAACAACTGCATATTAAGATACAGGTTTATAGACATGAGGGGTTTTCTTCCATGTTGGGATCTGACCAGAAGTAATCAAATATGTTGACAATTGAAACCTTGAACACCTGCATTTTTGCCCACTTCTAGTCATCTAATTTCTTCGTATTCAAAAAGATACGTACAAATGCAAACTTCACATCTTTTAAAAATGTTACTTAGCATATATTTAGTAGTCCATTCCATCACGTATTTAACACTCTTAGAAGAAGCCTAGTACCCCGAAATTCTAGGATATGATGTTATATGCAATCCTTTTAAAAGCCACACTGTGTCCAGATGAGGTACCCAATGTTTCAATGAATACATTAAGCCACTTTTGCCAAGTATTTCACTTCAACTTTTCACAACTATTTGCAAAATACAATGGATGACATTTAGAATGACATAACCTGTTTAAACAGAGATATGGAAATTGTTTAACTCACATGAGATACTGTACATTGTAGCTCACATGTTGTTTATACTGATTATTCCAATGCAGATAAAATTCCATATTCAAAGCAAAAATGCTCACATTTGTTGCACAGAGTAGGTCATTCACTGCTCAAAATTAAAAGAAAAGGAAACCCACAGTTACTGAAAAGCTTTATATTATGTACAGCAATTTCTCACTGAATGGGCATTTCTCATTTGAATGGTCACGGTACACTTTCAATAATTAAAAAAAATAAATTGTCTGTTTTCATTATAAAGATGGCAAATCAAAGTCTGTGATATATACAGCATATTAAGCCTTTAGTAAAAAAAAAGTTAAAAATAAATTCAGAAAAAAATAAGTACAGAAGTGTTGAGCTTAGTAGAAATAAACTGGTTCAACAATAACTCGATGAGAAAAATATGTAAAATACACATGCATAAACAAAGTAATTTTGATGTACCATCTGTTCGATTGACTTCCTACATTCCTGCACTGTTATTTTTTTCCTCAAAAAAACAATTTAAAAGTACTTAAACTGACGCCTGAACAGCACATAAAAGAATTTAAATTTAGACATGCAAAACAAGCAACTGGTGGCAAACTGCCACTATGCCATTCTTCAGAAGCTGTCATAATAAATCCATCAAGGCTTGCATTAAAAAAATACTGCTTTGAACCTTGCTCAACTTTATATGCATTCATTTAGTGCCAAGTATACAAACAGCTTTTGTTTTGCCTACGTACACATCCCTTTCCTCCTGATTCAAAGTCACAAATTCAAAAATATCCAGTTTTCCAAGACACAGGAAGTAGTTTTTGCAATCCAAATTAATGGACAGAATTTGCCTCAGAGCAAAAACCTTTTTGTACTACCAAAACTCTAATATTGATAGGTGACATTTTATATTGATTTAAAATACAAACATGTACATAACTGTCAAGATTGCTGTTATACCAAAATGAGTAGGAACTCGGCACTTCTGCATATTTCTATTGCTTTAGAACAACTTACTTTCCAACAGTTTAAACTTGAGTATCGTTTTAAAATAAGATGATTTTACTCTGTACCTTTACGGGTGGTTTTTATACAACGAATGGGACTGAATAGGCCTTCTTGCAACTCGAAAGGAAGAGTTGCTTGAACTTTCAAACAATAGGTAGTATCTGGTGCAAGATCATCAATTACGTCAGTAGGAAAAATACTTTGACTTCTGAACTGTAAGAAACAATTGCAAACAGCATATGAAGATAACTGTTCTTCCCGATGAGCTGATTTTTTCAATTATCTTTTTTCTTCCCCAGGTTTCAGCCCATTTATATAATATGCCATCAAAAACACTAAAATAGGGAATGAAGGACAATATATGAGCTGAATAAATGCTAAAGGGAAGTTTCCAACTTAGCCATGTGATTAAGAGGAAGGAACACATCGTGCTCCTTTAACACATGAAAGTGAGGAGGGATTGCGACACTGCTCTACATGACACATAACTCACCACACAAATATTCAGGCACATACTCAGAAGAGATATAGTACACTTCCGTCCCTCAATTCATTGAATGAACACTGCCCTCTTGCCCTCCTGCTATCTCCCTGCTTTTGGTTTACCAGACTTTTCAGTGACTGACCTTTGTACATAGCTCGCAGTTAACTTAAAGCTTTTTTTCCCTTTTGATATGTAATGCTTATGACCAGGTCTTCCATATGAACACAGGTATCTCTTCAATTCCTACCCTAATCTAGCTGGCACCCATTCCCCTAAAAGGATAAAAAAAGAACGACCGTTTCTATCTTGGTCTTTACAGAATAGCTGTATCTGCTCTGCAAGGTGCACATTATGGCTTGGAAACTAGTTCACAATTACAAGACTTCAAAAGAATCCCTAAAAAACCCCAACGTACAGTATAAAAGCAAAGAACTTAGTTAATGACACAGGGCAGTGTACTGACCGCTGTAGTCAAGCTATATGGTCTCAGCAAGATCAAGTTAACCTCTTACCTGTCCCCTCCCCTCTATGCCCTACTGTAAATTCTTCTTCCCACTGCCTTGAACT